AAAATCCTCAATAAAATACTCGCAAACCAAATCTAGCAGCATATCAAAAAGCTTATCCACCAAGATCAAGCTGGCTTCATACCTGGGATGCAAGGCTGGTTCAACATATGCAAATCAATAAGTGTAATCCATTACATAAACAGAACCAATGACAAAAACCACATGATTATCTCAATAGATGCAGGAGAGGCCTTCGACAAAATTCAGCCCTTCATGCTAAAAACTCTCAATAAACTAGGTATTGCTGGAACGTATCTCAAAATAATAAGAGCTATTTATGACAAACCCACAGCCAGTATCATACTGAATGGGCAAAAACTGGAAGCAGTCCCTTTGAAAACCGGCACAAGACAGGGAGGTCCTCTCTCACCACTCCTATTCAACATAATGTGGAAGTTCTGGCCAGGGCAATCAGGCAAGAGAAGGAAATAAAGGGTATTCAATTAGGAAAAGAGGGAGTCAAATTGTCCCTGTTTGCAGATGACATGATTGTATATTTAGAAAATCCATAGTCTCAGCCCCAAATCTCCTTAAGCTGATAAGCAACTTCAGCAAAGTCTCAGCATACAAAATCAATGTACAAAACTCACAAGCACTCCTATATACCAATAACAGACAGAGAGCCAAATCATGAGTGAACTCCCATTCACAATTGCTACAAAGAGAATAAAATACATAGGAATCCAACTTACAAGGGATGTGAAGGACCTCTTCAAGGAGAACTACAAACCACTGCTCGACGAAATAAAAGAGAACACAAATAAATGGAAGAACATTCCATGCTCATGGATAGAAAGAATCAATATCATGAAAATGGCCATACTGCCCAAGGTAATTTATAGATTCAATGCCATCCGCATCAAGCTACCAATGACTTTTCTTCACAGAATTGGAAAAAACTACTTTAAACTTCATATGGAACCAAAAAAGAGCCCACATTGCCAAGACAATCCTAAGCAGAAAAAAAAAGCTGGAGGCATCACGCTACCTGACTTCAAACTATACAGGCTACAGTAACCAAAACAGCATGGTACTGGTACCAAAACAGAGATACAGACCAATGGAACAGAACAGAGGCCTCAGAAATAACACCACACATCTACAACCATCTGGTATTTGACAAACCTGACAAAAACAAGAAATGGGGACAGGATTCCCTATTTAATAAACGGTGCTGGGAAAACTGGCTAGCCATATGTAGAAAGCTGAAACTGGATCCCTTCCTTACATTACATACAAAAATTAATTCAAGATGGATTAAAGACTTAAATGCTAGACCTAAAACCATAAATACCCTAGAAGAAAACCTAAGCAATACCATTCAGGACACAGGCATGGGCAAGGACTTCATGGCTAAAACACCAAAAGCAATGGCAACAAAAGCCAAAAATGACAAATGGGATCTAGTTAAACTAAAGAGCTTCTGCACACCAAAAGAAACTACCATCAGAGTGACCAGGCAACCTACAGAATGGGAGAACATTTTTGCAATTTACCCATCTGACAAAGGGCTAATATTGAGAATCTACAAAGAACTTAAATTTACAAGAAAAAATCAAACCCATTAAAAAGTGGGCAAAGGATATGAACAGACACGTCTCAAAATAAGACATTTAAGCAGCCAACAGACACATGAAAAAATGCTCATCATCACTGATCATCAGAGAAATGCAAATCAAAACAACAATGAGATGCCATCTCACACCAGTTAGAATGGCAATCATTAAAAAATCAGGAAACAACAAGTGCTGGAGAGGATGTGGAGAAATATGAACACTTTTACACTGTTGGTGAGAGTGCAAACTAGTTCAACCACTGTGGAAGACAGTGTGGCGATTCCTCAAGGATCTAGAACTAGAAATACCATTTGACCCAGCCATCCCATTACTGGGTATATACCCAAAGGATTATAAATCATGCTGCTATGAAGACACATGCACACATATGTTTATTGCGGCACTATACACAATAGCAAAGACTTGGAACCAACCCAAATGTCCATCAATGATAGACTGAATTAAGAAAATGTGGCATATATACACCATAGAATACTACGCAGCCACAAAAAAAAGATGAGTTCATGTCCTTTATAGGGACATGGATAAAGCTGGAAACCATCATCCTGAGCAAACTATCCCAAGGACAGAAAACCAAACACCGTGTGTTCTCACTCATAGGTGGGAATTGAACAATGAGAACACTTGGACACAGGACAGGGAACATCACACACCGGCACCTGGTGTGGGGTGGGGGGAGGGGGGAGGGATAGCATTAGGAGAAATACCTAATGTAAATGATGAGTTAATGGGTGCAGCAAACCAACATGGCACATATATACATATGTAACAAACCTGCACGTTGTGCACATGTACCCTAGAAGTTAAATTATAATTTAAAAAAAATCTATTACTATATTTGTATGTCTATTTCTGGACTCCCTCTCTTCTCTTCCATGGCTCTATGTACATACTCTTTCACCAAAACTGCACTGTATTAATTACCTTAGATGTATATTGTGTCTTAAAACTAGGTAATGTGAATCCTCCAACTTTCTTTTTCAAAACAGTTTTAGCTATTCTGGTTTAAACTTTCCATATAAATTTTAGAATCTGGTTGTCTATATCAATGAATCTAGCTGAGATTTTGACTGGGATCACATTAAATTTATAGGTCAAGTTGACTGTATTGAGTGTTGTAATCCATGAACACAGTATGCTTCCTTGTTTATTTTGGTTGTCTTGGATTTCCTTCAGCAGCATTTTGTAACTTTCAACATACAGATCCTGCACGTTTTGTTTGATTTATATCTAGGTAGTTTTTTTTTTTTTTTCCTCCTTTTGGAGCTATTATAAATGGAACTTAAAACAAAATCCTGGTTTCCAATTGTTCATTGTCTTTGTATAGAAATACAAGTGATGTTTTAAAAAGTTAACCTGTATACTGCTCAAATCACTTATTAGTTCTAGGAGCTTTTTAACAGATTTGTTGGTAATTTCTACACAGACAATCATGTTATATACAAAGAAAGTTACTTTTATTTCTTTCTTTCAGGTCTGAATGCCTTTCATTTATTTTCTAGTTCTATTGTACTTGCTAGGATTTCCAGTACAATACTAAAAGAAGTGGTGAGATTGAACATCTTTGCCTAGTTCTCTATCATACAGGAAAAGCATTTGGTTCTTTATCATTAGATATGACATTAGCTGTAGGTCCTTTATAGATGCCCTTTAAAAGACTGAAGTTTCCTTTTATAAAAATCTCCCCAATCCCCATAATCCCCAGCCTCTGGTAACAACCATTCTACACTCTACCTCTATGAGTTCAACTTTTAATATTCTGCATATGAGTGAGATCATGCAGTATTTGTCTTTCTGTGCTTGACTTCTTATTCCACTTAATGTACTGTTCACTCCTGGTTCATTCATGTTGTTACAAATGACAGAATCTCATTCTTTTTTAAGGCTAAATAGTATCCCATTGTGTATATATAGCACCTTTTCTTTATCCATGCATCTGTAGACAGACGCTTACATTGATTGCATATCTTGCCTATTGTGAACAATGCTGCAATGAACATAGGAGTGCAGATACTTCTTCAACAGACTGATTTCCTATTTTTTGGATAGATACCCAGTAGTGGGGTTGCTGGATCACAGGGTAGTTCTATTTTTATTTTTTTGAGGAAACTCCATACTGTTTTCCATAATGACTATACTAATCTACATTTCCACCAACAATGTGAAGGATTCCCTTTTTTCACACATCCTCACCACCACTTTTGTCTCTTTTATAATAATCATCTTCTATGCTTTGCATATGGTTGGTTTGTCTCCACCAAATCTTATTTTGAAATTTTATCCCCAACATGGAGGTGCTGGTAGGTGTGGCCTAATGAGAGGTGTTTGGGTCATGGAGGCAGATCCCTCATGAATGGCTTGGTGCCATTCTCATGGTAGCTGAGTTCTTGCTCTAGTGAGATAGGATTAGTTTTGCTGGGATTGAATCAGATCCTGTGAGAATGGGTTGTTACAAAGTCAGGTAGCCCCTCAGGTTTGGTCCCTCTTTGCATGTGCCCACTTCCACTTTGACTTTCTCTGCCACGTTTTAAGGCAGCATAAAAGCCCTCACCAGAAGCTACACAGATGCAGGTGTCATGCTTCTTGTACAGCCTGTAGAACTATAAGCTAAATAAACCACTTTTCTTTATAAATTACCCAGCCTCAGGTATTCCTTTATAGCAAGACAAAACAAAGACGCCATTATTCTTTTTTTTCCCCATTGGTTATCGGGGTACAGGTGGTATTTGGTTACATTAGTAAGTTCTTTAGTGGTGACTTGTGAGATTTTGGTGCACCCATCACCCGAGCAGTATACACTACACCCTATTTGTAGTCTTTTATCCCTCACCCACCTCCCACCCTTCCCCACAAGTCCCCAAAGTCCACTGTATCATTCTTAAGCCTTTATGTCCTCATAGCACAGCTTAGCTCTCACATATCAGTAAGAACATACAATGTTTGGTTTCCATTCCTGAGTTACTTCACTTAGAATAATAGTCTCCAATCTCATCCAGGTCACTATAAATGCTGTTAATTCATTCCTTTTTATGGCTCAGCAGTATTCCATCATACATACATACACACACACACACACACACACACACACACACACCACAGTTTCTTTATCCACTTGTTGACTGATGGGCATTTGGGTTGGTTCCATGATCTTGCAATTGTGAATTGTGCTGCTATAAACATGCGTGCGAAGTATCTTTTTCATATAATGACTTCCTTTCCTCTGAGTAGATACCCAGTAGTGGGATTGCTGGATCAAATGGTAGTTCTACTTTCAGTTCTTAAAGGAATCTCCACACTGTTTTCCATAGTGGCTGTACTAGTTTACATTCCTACCAGCAATGTGGAAGTGTTCCCTGATCACCACATCCACACCAACATCATTTTTTTTATTATGGCCATTCTTGCAGAAGTAAGGTGGTTATTGCATTGTAGTTTTGATTTGCATTTCCCTGACCATTAGTGATGTTGAGCATTTTAAACAAAATTTTTATTTAATAAATGGTTAAAATCGCAGTGCCAAAAATACATTAACATTTAATAATTTCACTGAAAGGAAGAAATTGTAGAATGCACGGTTTCAGAAAGCTATTTTCAGTTATTTACAAATAAAGTGTCTAAAACTCAAAGACAGGCTCTATATGCTATACCTAGTTTATCCCTTCCCGAACAAAATTTCTGTTATTTGGGCAAATTCTTAAACGATGATTTAAACCATAACGGTTACAAACCACAAATGCATCCTTCCAAAGACTGTGAAACCATTTTCATCTAGTCAGTGGCAAAACTGTTGAAAGGGCAATAGTTGAAGCTGCTGAGTTTTACATAGTGTGAACTGTGGTATATATTCCTACCAGGACTAAAACACAGCACACTTTGCAGGCATGGCTGACTCACAAAGGTTGTAACAAACAACTGCTCTTTACTCGACACCACGGCTTGGAGGCCACAGAGAAGCACAAGAGACTGACAGCTCTTCTGCTTACAAACAAATGAAACCCAAAGTGGATGTCTTTCTCAGAGCACTGAAAGTGCTTCAGGACTCGCACTGATCCAATACTAACTTTCTTCCCTATTTTACACACATTTTTCTACTGTCCAATGGAAATCATTTTCTGGTCTGGCTAAACAACAAATACTAGTTTATAACAGGAATGGTAAAATCCGTGAGAATTCTGTTCAATGTAAGACTTGACACTACTTTCTTTAGAATGGTTTCTGCGTGTTTCTATGTCACCCTCTCTATTTTTAGCTTCCAGCTTCCTGGTAAGGAGTAAGTTCTCCTTTCCCGTCACACTCGGGGTCATTTACATGTTTCTGGGATGCCCTCACTAGTTCATGGAGGCCAGGTGCGCGCAGTGACTCACTCTGCCTCTTCCTCCACTCTTCTCAGGACCAGTCCCCGAACCTTCTGCCTTGCAGTTCCTCCCGCTTCCACCACACTCTCGTGCTCGGAAGCAAGCTCCCGGATCATACAGCCGCAAGGCCGGCTGGTCCTTGTTTGCCAGTCGCTCCTTTCTGGGTGCCAGACCGTCCTCACACCTCTGAGCTCTTCCCGGTCTCTCCACAGCCTCCCCAGGAGCCCCGCTGTCCTGGCTCCCCTTCTTCCCTCTGTCTTGGCCAGGTTCTTTACCCCATGTCTGCTCATCTTCACTCCTGCTGGAAAGCCGGTCAGGCTCGTGGTGAGATCTGTGCCTCCTGCTGTCATCCACATGGTGTCTTTGTGCTTCAGATTCTTTTTCTTGAGATGTCTCCACATCCCTGTGCTCTTTATCACTGCCGCCGTGTGACCTTAACCCTTACTTCTTTCTCTGCAATTTTCTTTTTTGTTTTGCATCTTTCTTCTTCTTTTTCCTCTTCCCGCAAACGGGAACTTTTCCCGCAAACGCAAACTTTTCTAACTCTCTCCTCCTCCGTTCTTAATCGCTTCTCTTCCCGAATTCTCTGCTTCTCTAATTTTCTATTTTTAATATATTCCAAAACAGGTGTAGTTCTTCTAGCAATGAGCTCTCTTGTCTTCGCCTCCATCTCCCCCAGCAGTCTCAGGGTTGACACTGGTCTTCTCTTTCTCCACACAGTAGGTTTCTAAAAACTTCTTATATTCTGCATCCCAAGTTGGCGGCGAAAAACTCGAAGTAGTTGTGCGCGGGCAGCGGGTGCAGCTGCTCCTCCAGCAGCTCCTTGGGGGAGGCCCATGGACAGGTGGCAAATGACCACCTGCGGGGAGCGCGAGGAAGTTCCCACCGCAGCGTGGCGTGGACATCGAGCTCGGGAGGCACCGCCTACAGTGCTAGAAGGCCCGGGCCCCACCCCTCCAGCCCCCGCCCCTCCCCCTCCGCTCAGGGCCGTCCTCTCGATGTTGAGCATTTTTTCATGTTTGTTGGCCATTTGTGTATCTTTTGAGAATTATCTGTTCATGTCCTTAGCCCACTTTTTGATGGGATTGTTTTTTTCTTACTGATTTGAGTTCATTGTCGATTCTGGATATTAGTCCTTTGTCAGATGTATAGATTGTGAAGATTTTCTCCCACTCTGTGGGTTGTCAAAGACACCATTCTAACATCTCTGATGATTAGTGATGTTCAGCACTTTTTCATATACCTATTGGCTACTTGCATGTCTTATTTTGAGAAATGTTTATTCAGATGCCTTACCCATTTTCAATCAGGTTGTTTTCTTACTATTGACTTGTTTGAATTCTTTATATATTTTTAGTATTAACCCCTCATCAGATGTATGGTTTGCAAATCCTTTTTCCCATTCTGTAGATTGTTTTTTTCACTTTGTAGATTTCCTTCAGTGTGCAGAAGCTTTTTAGTTTGATGTAATCCAATTTTTCTATTTTTGCTTTTGTTGCCTGTGCTTTTGGGGTCATATCCAAAATTTGTGGCCCAGACTAATGTCATGAAGCTTTCCCCTGTTTTCTTCAGTACTCTTAAATAATTTCAGATCTTATGTTAATGTCTTTAATCTATTTTGAGATGATATTTGTATATGGGGTGAGATGAGGGTCTAATTTCATTCTTCTGCATGTGGATATCCAGTTTCCCCCCAGTCTTCCTAGCACAATTTATTGAAGAGACTCTCTTTTCTCTCTCTTTTTGATGCTGGGAAAAGTGCACCTTTTGCACCTTTGTCAAAAATCAATTGACCATAACCAGGGTCTCTAGTTTGCTAGGATTTTGTTGAGGACTTTTGCATCTATGTTCATCAAGGATATTACCCTGTAATTTTCTTTTCTTATAGTGTCCTAGTCTGACTTTGAATGTGTTTAAAAGTGCTCTCCCAGGCTGGTGCAGTGGCTCATGTCTCTAATCCCAGTGTTTTGGAAGGCCATAAGTAGGAGGATCACTTGAGGCCAGGCCAGGAACTTGAAACCAGCCTTGGAAAACAGCAAGAATCTGTCTCTACAAAAGCAAAAACAAATTAGCTGGGCATGGTGGCCCATGTCTGTAATCCCACCTACTCGGGAGGCTTGAGGTGGGATTACTTGAGCCCAGGAATTTGAGGCTGCAGTGAGTTATGATTGCACCACTGCACGCCAGCCTGAGCGATAAAGCAAGATCCCGTATCAAAAAAAAAAGAAAAAGAAAAAAAAAAAAGGTTTCTCCCTTCTTCAATTTTTTGGTAGTTTTAGAAAGAATGGTCATCAGGTCCTGGGCTTTTCTTTGATGGGAGACTTTTCATTACTGATTCAATTTCTTATTTGTTATTGGTTGCTGTTGGTCTGTTCAGATTTTCTGTTTCATGATTCAGCCTTGGTAGATTGTATGTGTCTAGTATTTTCTTCTACGTTATTAATTTGTTGACACATAATTATTGATAGTAGCCTCTTATTCTTTTGTATTTCTGTGGTATCACTTGTAATGTCTCCTCTTTCATTTTTTATTTTATTTTTTGAGCCTTCTCTCTTTTCTTCTAGCTACAAGTTTTTAAATTTTATCTTTTTAAAAAACCAACTCATAGTTTTGTTGCTCTTTTCTATTGTTTTTCTAATCTCAATTTCATTTATTTCTTCTGATCTTTATTATTTTCTTCCTTCTACTAAATTTGAGCTTGGTTTGTTCTTTTTCTAGTTCCTTGAGATACAATGTTAGGTTTGAGATCTTTCTTGTTTTCTGACGTAGGTGTTTATTGCTGTAAAACTAACTTCCTAAAACTATTTTTGCTGCTTCCCATAAGTTTTGTTTGGTATGTTGTATTTCCATTTCCATTTTTCACAAGATATTTTAAAATTTCCCTTTTAATTTCTTCTTTGCTCCACTGGTTATTCAGGAACATGTTTGATTTCTATGTATTTGTGAATTTTCCAATTTACTCCCAGTTATTGATTTCTAGCATCTACCATTGTGGTCAGAAAAGATATCTGATACAATTTTAATCTTCTTAAATTTGATAAGACTTGTTTGTGGCCTAACATATGATCTATCCTGAAGAATGTTCCATGGGCACTTGGAAGAATGTGTATCTTGCTTCAGCTGAATAGAATGTTCTATATAAGTCTGTTAGGTCCATTTGAGCTAAAACTGTGGAAATCCAAACTTTCCCTATTTTTCCATCTGGATGATGTGGCCCTTGCTGAAAGTAGGGTATTGAAGTCCCCTATTATTACTGTATTATAGTCTCCTTTCAGATCTATTAATCTTTTCTTTATATATTTTGGTGTTCCAATGTTGCATGCATATATATTTTAATTATTATATCCTCTTGCTGAATTGACCCCTTTATCATTATATAATGACCTTGTTTTACAGTTTTTGACCTAAATGCTATATAATTATAGCTACCCTGCTCTCTTTTGGTTTCCATGTCCAGAATATCTTTTTACCTCCCTTCACTTTTAGTCTACCTGTGTCCCTTATAGGTGAAGTGAATCTCTTGTAGGCAGTTTATACTAGGGTATTGGTTTTTTATCCATTCAGTCACTCTATGTCTTTTGATTGGAGATTTTAAGCCATTAACATTCAAAATAATTATTGATGGGTAAAGACTTACTACTGCCATTTTGTTAATTGTTCACTGGTTGTTTTGTAGATCCTTTGTTGCTTTCTTCCTCTCTTCTTGTCTGCCTTTGTGCTTAGGTGATTTTCTCTAGTGGTATGCTTTATTCCTTAATTTTTATCTTTTGTGTATTTACTAAAGTTTTTTTGCTTTGTGGTCACCATGAGATTTACATAAAATATAATTATAATAGGGTATTAATTTTTATTTTATTTTGTATATTTCTTCACTATGTCCTGTGCTCATAACAGGCTATTTTAAGCTGATAAAAACTTTATTCACACACACACACAAAAACTACACTTTTACTCTACCCTCCTCACATTTTAAATTTCTGGTGTCATAATTTACATATTTTTATACTGTGTATCCCTAAAATTATTGTAGCTATTACTAATTTTAATAGTTCTTTTATCCTTCATACCAAAGCTATAAGTGATTTATATACCACAATTACAGGCTTAGAGTATTCTGAATTTGACTGTATACTTACTTTCACCATTGAGTTTTATACTTTCATGTTTTCATGTTAGTACTTACTGTCCTTTTCTTTCAGCCTGAAGAACTCCCTTTTAGCATTCCTTTTAAGACAGGTCTGATGAAACTCCCTCAGCTTTTGTTCATCTGGGAAAGTCTTTAGCTCTCTTTCATTTCTGAAGGACAGCTTTGCTAGGTATTAATATAATATTGCTGGTTGGCAGTTTTCTTCCTTAAGTACTTTTGAACATATCATCTCACTCTCTTCTGGTCTATAAGGATTCTGCTGAGAGAACTGCTGCTAGCTGTACTGGAACTCCTTTACATGTCATTTGCTCTTCTCTTACTGCTTTCAGAATCTCTCTTTGTCCTTGATTTTCAACAGTTTATGTGTTGGTGTAGTCTTTGAACTAAAGCTGATTGGAGTTCTTTGACCTTCCTGTACCTAGATACTTATACCTTTCCTCAGATTTGCAAAGCTTTTCTCATTTTAAATAACTTTTCTACCCCTTTGTTTCTCCTTTCTCCTTCATTTACTCCTATAACTTGAATATTTACTCTTTTGGTGCTGTCCCATTAATTCCATAAACTTTCTTCATTCTTTTTTTCTTCTTTCACTGTATGTTTTCAAATAACCTGTATATTCAGGTTTAAATTCTTCTAATTGTTCAATTCTGTTGGCGATGCTGTTACATTTTCTTTTCATTCATTGTGTTCTTCAGCTCTATAATTTGTTTAATTTTTAAGAAATATATAATTTCAATCTCTCTGGTAAACTTCTCATTTTGGTAACTTGTTTTCCTGATTTCATTGAATTCTCAGTATTTTCTTGAAGTTCATGGATGTTACTTTTTAAAACAATGATTTTGAATTCTTTGTCAGGCAGTTCATACATCTCCATTTCTTTGGGTCAGCTTCTGGGAGATTATTGTGCTCTTTGGGTGATGTTATGTTTATGTCTCCTTGGTTTTTCATTTCTTATTGCCTTACATTGATGTCTGGGCATTTGAAGATGTAGAGACTTATTTTAGTCTTTGACTTGCTTTGTCTGGGAAAGCCCTTCACTAGTCAGTCCATTCAGGGATTCTAGTCCAGCTGCCTGGTATGGTTCATTGGTTGGCTTGCTCTTAAGTGTCTTCACACTGGCTGGCCCGGTGCCTGGGTCAGCAAGGGGGTGAGCTCGGTGCCTGGTTCCATGGAGTTAAGCCTGAAACTTGGGTCCACTGGAGTGGAGCTGTTGACTGGTTCTGTGGAATGGGCCTGCATCTAACAGGGTGGGCCTGAAGCCTGGGTCCACTAGAGCTAACCTGGCACTGGGGTGGGCCTTGAGCCTGAGTCTACAGGGGCCAGCCAGGCACCGGGATGAGCCTGGTGCTTAGGTCCACTGGGATAGGCTGAGTCTATGGGAGTGGGTCTGGGTCAAGAGTCCACAGGGGACTGGCCTGGAGCCTGGGTCTGCAGAGGTAGTCCTGGAGCCTCTGTCTGTGGAGACTGGCCTAGAACCAGGGCCTACTAGGGTGAACTTGGACTCTGTATTTACTGGAGCAAACCTAGATCTTAGGTCTTTGGAACCTGCAGTTGACCTAGTGTTGGGGCAGGTGTGGAATCAGGATCTATGGCAGCTTGTCTGGAGTGTAGGATCATGGTTGCTGGCCTGGTATCTGAAGCCACTGAGGCTGGCTGAAAGCCTAGGGCTTTGGAGTCTGGCTAGAGCCTGGGACTACTTGCGTTGGCCTGGAGGCTGAGTGTGCAGGTGCTGGCCTGGAGTCAGGTCTGCAAAATCTAGCCTGGGTCCTGGGGCTTCAGGGGCCAGTCTGAAACCTGGATCCACAAGTATGTTCCTAGAACTTGGGTCCATGGAGGCTGGTGCATCACTGGAGTCTACTAGGATAAGCCTAAACCCTGGGTCTGTGGGTGCTAGCCTGATGATTAGGGCTGTGGGCAGCTGGTCTGGAGCCTGGAGTCACTGGGATTGGCCTGGTGCTGAAGTAGATCCAGAGACTGAGTCTGCTGGGCAGGCCTGGGGCCTGCAGCTTTGGAATCTAACCTGGGGCTTTGAGATCTAGCCTGGCACCACGGTGGGACTAAATGCTCGGTCCATGGGTACCAGCCTGGAGTCTGGGGCTACAGAAGCCTTTCTGGCACTGAGTTTTACCAAGACAAGCCAAGTGTTAGGGTCTGAGGAAAAGTTTAGTGCTAACTTCCTTCTCCTTTCCCCACATGAAGGGTATCTCTCTCCATACTGTGCTGCCTGGGGTTGGGTGAGGGGTGGTGCAAGTAGTATAAAACTGTCCTTTTTAGACTCTTCAATGCATCATTTCTTTACTACACTCAGGTACTATAATCTCTGACCTGGTTTCCTTAGCTCTTGTAAAGGTATTTTTGTGCATGGATGTATGTTCAACTTGATGTTTCTGTGTGAGAAAAACATGGAAAGTCCTTTTCTGTCATTTTGCTGATGTCCACTGAGACTAACTTTCATAATCAACTCTTGACTAGATTACTGAACAGTCACCTAGATTTTATTTTGACCCCCTCTAATCTATTCTCCAGATTGCAGCCAGAGTAATCTTTAAAAAACAATCTGATTATGTCACTCCCTGATTAAAACCTTTCATTAGCTCTTCATGGTTTTCAGGATAAAGTCAAAATTCCTTAACACAGCATGTAAGGACTTCCATGAATTAGTTCTCTTGACCTCATTCCTCAGCATTCACCTTTCCACTTATATTCACCAACAGCGCTTGAACTTGTTCCTGCCAATGTCACCTTTCTCTAAGCCCTGTCTCCTTCTCACCTCCTGGATAAACTTCTACAAAACTTTATACCTACCTTGGGCATCAATATCGCCAGAAATCCTGGATCAGGTACTACTCTGTTGATCTCTGTCAGAGCACTTATCCCTTAATAAAACATAATTGCCTGTTAACATGGTTGTCCCTTTCCTCCACTTGGTTATGAGTTCTCTGAGGGCAGGGACCCAGTCTTAGTAAAAACCCTTGGTTCTTAGCACAATGTCTGTCATACAGAAGAGATAGCTAAATATTTAATGAATTGATAGGTTGAATGGTATCTTTCTGAGCATAGATTAAGAACAACTAAGATTTGTTACTACTTTATGGTTTATAACATAATCATTATCTCTCATCAATTTTTATAACAATCCCATTAGGTAGGTGGTATCATTAACCATTTTTTATATATGAAGAAACAAGAACAGAGAAGTTAAGTGACTTTCCCAAGGTAGGACTCAAATCTAGGCTTCCTAGATAATTTTAGGATTGGGAATCTTCTACCAAACAACCACATCTCCACTGAAATATTTAGAACTGAGTGGGGTAATTCATTCTGCCATAGGACTACAAATCATCCTCTAACTGTGTAATTTAATCTTTTGAGATAAAAATGGCATTTAAATGAATTTTCAAAATAAAATGTCTAATTTGAATACCTGTATTGCTTAAACTTTTCCTATAAAAAAATCTACATTTTTAACCACTGTATTTAACACCTCACAAAGCTGATAAAAATTCAGTATCTGTAGTACCTACAAGGCTTATACATATATTAATACTCTAAATATCTGAGAATTGAGTCAGAAAGCTTACCTATTCTTGGAACAGTTCATAGCTATATGCCATTAGAAATGCCTAGTAATAGCAAGATTCATAAATACTACTAATGTTCTTGCTAGGTGCAGTCACGAATGAACAGCACTATTACACAATTTCCTTTACCCTGCCCGAAGGTTATAAGCTATTTTTCTTGATGTGCTTGGCAAAGACCAAACTCAGTGAAGAGCTAATTTCTCACAAGACAAAAATGTTCTTTGAGAGATTGATTCCCAAGCATTAATCATTAATCATCCAAGCATTCATTATCAATCCTAATCACTTAATGTTGGTATTTCTACAAGGGTATATCATAATGTTCATAATTATACCACACCCTATAGTGAAAAAAAAGCAGCAGTCACCCAAACCTCTCCCATCCAGTTAACAGAGTCCTACTGTTCCAACATAGGATTATTTAAAATATTCAAACAACTATTTTAAGTTCATTTTTGAGACACATCTCAGTAATTTTTAAACAACAAAATGAATACTTACAATACATCTTTGAAGTCTCCAAACACATACATATGCCTAAAGCTGTCAATAGCGATTACAGGACAATCTGCTGGAGTTTTCTGTATGTGCAGAAGAGGATGTCTAAATTTGTCACAATCGGCATGTAAAAAGTTTATTGTACCTTTTAAAAACAAAAGAATTTTGAGAGGTAAATTCAAATTTTCTTGATTATATTTTCATAAGATTGCAAGCTCACAAAAAGTGACATACTAAAAAAGCACCCCAACATTCTTAAGATTAATATAGATCAGAAAAACTAAAACCTAAATATCTAACACTTAAAATAGGTAGGCTTTTAGTTCTTAGGGCACGAAGTATAACTTCTTTAGAAATCATATTGACTTAGCCCAAATTTGAAGGCTATAATGAATGTTTTACTCTCCTTAAATGGGCAATCATTTACTTTGCAGATTACCAGGTTCTAGGCAGGAAGCTCAAATTGATATATGAGCCATTCTCATGGGACCATTTTCATACCAGCCTATTCCAGCATACTGGTTGATTTTTAGTGGAATTCAACCTGCAAGATCGTATGTGACTAAAATGGGCAGCTCTATACAGTAACTTTAGTTTATTTTGTTTGACTTTCTTCCCCAACTACAGAGGAAAAGCTGGTGATACCTCAAATTCCATTAAATGCTTTGGAGAAATCCACAGACAACTACTCAACTTTCTTTCATTTAGAAATAAATGTTAATCAGACTGTGTAAGCTCTCTCAGTAATATCTCTGGGAATGTCCATCGGAAAAGGAGTCAGACAAGCAATGAAAGAAAGTGCCCAGAACTAATGCTCATTCATGACCCTGCTTTTCATGAACTTTGATTTTTCTCTCCAAAATAGTAATGGTTAGAAGACAAACAAAAAACACTACTTCACAGTATCGCTCTACTAATGCCTCCTTACTGTCACATTTGAATGCACTAAAATAAGGTTTTAACCCAAATATGTTTATGTGATTTGAAAGTAATGGGAGGGGAGACGATGAAAGGGGGAAAAAAAAAGAGAGAAAGAAATGATGAAAATAAACACCTTAATCTGTCTACCTTTTTCACTTATTAATTGCCGAGCTACTTCATTCTGGAATATTTCTAAACTTTCTGTATCTTCTTTCATGTGAAAGAGTATGAGAAAAGGCAGTCCTTCTTCTGTCAATTCCTGTAGAGAGAAGCATTCAATGAGAATTATCAGGCTTCTCCATTCAGTTGTAGCTATTTTCTAGGTAGGAACAATTTTGAACCCGACCCATGTAATGTAATAGTTGTAATATCCCAGGGGGGAAAAAAGGCTCAGTGGTGTGAATAAACATTAGCCTGAACAGAAGACTGAATTCACTCCCCTCCCCACCTCAAGTACCCAGGCAGTCAGAGGATCCACATGCCCTGCTTTGCTGCAGAAACTGATCTGCCTTAAAGGAACCACTGTCTGTCAGCCAGTATGGGATACGAGGCCTCAGGGTTAGGCTGTTGAACTCATGACATATAGAGGTGAACTATGCTGGTTCTTTACCAAGGCATTAATTTTAGGTAGGGTAAACATGACCAGTATTATCAGTCTTCACAAGTAACACTAAAAATTGAGTATATCAGCAATAAATAAATATGACTTGCAAAGTTTTTTGTATTCTAAGGTTGCAAAAACCATTACACTTATATATAAAACTTAACCAAAGCTGAAGTGTTTTATCCAGGGTAAAAGACAAAAACTCCATTATTTACTAATTTTCAACCAATACAATTATTAATAAATACCTGCCCCTATATATTTTTACATATCTCTTTATACACATACAAAAGCACCTTGAAAATTATAAAATGCTATTAAAATTTTTATTGTTGTAATTGGAGAATACTACAATGGGTAGTCATGATTAAATGAAATGTGATACGTAGATCGATTTAATCATTTATTCTCCCCAACAAATGCTAAGTTCTGAGTCATCAGAAAAAGTCCAGAAAGGGTTTCAAAACAAAATTATTTTCATCAACTATCCTTTTGAGGATCTCTCCATAAATTTAGGAACTACCTCACCAGAAAGTACAAATGTCCTTTATTTAAAAAAAAAAACAAAAAACTGAAAATGGGACCTATTTTACAAGATTAAAAGTTTTCTTCTGGTTCTCATCTCCATATTTAAGCCTGTTTCACTTGTATATAAGATCAATTATTAAGCCTCTTGTTACACTTATTTTTAAAAAAACTGAGATACAATTAGCATACCATAAATTTCACCACTGTTTTTTGGAGACAAGGTCTCACTCTGTCACCCAGGCTGGAGTACAGCCTCAACCTCCCCAGGCTCAGGTGATCCTCCCACCTCAGCCTCCCAAATAGTGAGGACTACAAACATGCATGACCATGCCCAGTTCATTTTTGTTATTTTTTGTAGAGATGGGATTTCGCCATGTTGCCCAGGTTGGTCTCAAACTCCTGGGCTCAAGCAATCTGCCTGCCTCAGCCTCCCAAAGTGCTGGAATTACAGGTATGAGGCCACACACCTAGTCCATCATTTTTAAGTGTACAATTTTGTGGTTTTAACTATATTCACAAGTTGTGCAAACATCACCACTAATTCCAGAGTTTTTTTTTTTTTTTTCGAGACGGAGTCTCACTCTGTAGCCCAAGCTGGAGTGCAGTGGCGCGATCTCAGCTCACTGTAACCTCTGCTTCCCATGTTCAAGTGATTCTCCTGCCTCAGCCTCCTGAGTAGCTGGGACAACAGGCGTACACAACAATGCCCAGCTAATTTTTTTGTATTTTTAGTAGAGAAAGGGTTTCACCATTTTGGCCAGGATGGTCTTGATCTCCTCACCTCATGATCTGTCCCCCTCGGCCTCCCAAAGTGCTAGGATTACAGGCATGAGCCACTGCACCCACCCTAGAACACTTTTTATCACTTCAAAAATAAACTACATACCCATTAGTAGTGATTCCCATTTCCCCTCTCCCCACCCCCTGGCATCACATTAATCTTTTAGTAAGCTGATTTTTTTTTTCTCCTCATCTTTTATCTCTTGGATTCTCATTTTTTATTCCACCATCCATTAACTGATGCTGGTCTCAATGGTTGTCTTTGGACTTCTCTGGTCTAGCATGACAACTTCATGTAGTTCAACAGTTTCGATCACTACTTCTGATCACTTATCTGTGTCTACAAGCCCAGCTCCAGCACAGAATCCAAGCCTAGGTTTCCATCTGCCTGCTTAACATCTCCATTTCAAATTCTAAACAAGTACCTTAAATACTCAAACTACTGCCTAGTCCCCTCCTGTCTAACCTCCTTCTCCTATCTCCCCATTTTCTTTAGTAGTTCTACTTCTCTCTTAGTACTTTTCTTTTCAGGATGTAGTGCCTCTTCTCTAAAGCCATCTCTCATTCCACCCCATCCCTGTCAAAGGAAAATTCTTTTTTCTAAACTCCAAGAGCATTTTAACAGCGCAAAATTCTTTCTTCTAATCTCCAAGAGCATTTTATCAGTGCCCCTCATGTGGAATGGGGCATGACTTTGTGTTATATTATCTGTACATATGAAATATTAAACTGAAAACCCCTTGAAGACAATCTTACTTCATTTCTGTTTTGCTCACAATCAACATATGTCAATAAATAAACAAATGCTTCTAAACACGTGGTAATGTATGCTGCTTAGGCTTCCAAGTTTACCTATGTCCATACAAGCATATTTTTTACCAAACAAATGTTAAAAGATTAAGGAGAAGAATAGTAAGATAACCAGATTTACAGGAAACAGATATTTCCCCCACAGATTAAATGATTGAATGGTTGGTTAAATGGTTAAATGGTTGGTTACAACATAACAAATCTCAAGAGGTATTAAATGTGCTGACAACCACGGGGAAGGGTGCTACCCTGTTTCATTGTTTAAGATTTTCCAGGTCTATACCTTTAAATCTGGTTTTAAAAATTATCCCTGAAAGAACTGCCAGAGCAGGCGAATAGTCATGACAAATTCTTAAATTTTCCTGGGCCTCTGAGGACTAAATGAGTGAATGCAAATTGTCTAAAAAATGTAAGTAATCCAACTAAACATACCTGAGGCCTACAGAAGTAAGAAAACCAGGGACAGGCTGGGCGCGATGGCTCACACCTGTAATCCCAGCACTTTAGGAGGCTGAGGCGAGTGGGTCACCTGAGGTCAGGAGTTCAAGACGAGCCTGACCAACATGGTGAAACCCTGTCTCTACTAAAAATATATATATTAGTTGGGCGTGGTGGCAGGCACCTGTACTACCAGCTACTCCTTCAAGGCTGAGGCAGGAGAATCCCTTGACCCTGGGAGGTGGAGGTTACAGTGAGCCGAGATCGCACCATTGCAGGCTAGCCTGAGTGACAAGAGCGAAACTGGGGGGCTAGGACATTCATTTGATAAACTGTAAGCACAAAGAGTCTAATCCATGCTCTCTTTCAAAACTAAGTTTAAGATCAAAATGGAAAACACTAACAATTCAAATATAAATAAATATTTTTTAAATGTTTACTTTCTTAAAGTTTGATTTAAAGTACCTCAAACATTCTGCTTTACAATTGCTTGTCTTAACTATTCTATTAATAAATTCTAAGTTGTTTTTTGTTTTTTTTTTAAATTAGTATGAATGTGCGTTAAAAAGCAGAGGGAGCTTAAATCCCAATCTCTTCTAGGCTGCTGGTACTATAAAACTATGACACACCACTGACACCTTGTGGCCAAACACTCAAATTGTAGGAGCAGTATTTTGAATTCCGTGAAATGTCTTACAGTCCACTTTAAAATGCTATTAATGATAGGAAAGAGATGGAAGCAAGACAAGATTATGTGTGCTACATCCAATCTATATATCCAGTATTAAAAATAAAAGAATACAAAATTGAGTGCATTGCACACAGAAGGGTATTATTCAATGAAAAATAAGAATTATGTATATTCTAGTGAAAATTTTTTACTTTGCCCTGCAATGAGAAATGGTTTGAAAGCCGCTATTTGATCCAAACATTTGAATTCCTGTACCTAAGCATTTAGTGTGTCATGAGGGGTAATGACACATGATTAAAGATTGAAAGACACCCAATCTGATCATATTTATTCAAACCTTCTCAAAAAACTACAATAACTTAAGATGCGTCTTAACAATATGAATTACTCAGAACCCAGGAAAATACTACTTTGAGAAGAAGGTTCAAAAATAACACTGAAAGAAGCAACAGAACATTACTGAACAAAAAAATACTCTGGTCACTAAGAATGGCCTCCAAGTGCCAAGCTGTCACACAGAAATAAAGATTGAGTATCTCTTATTCAAAATGCCTGGGATTGGAAGTGTTTGGATTTTGAAATATTTGCATTATTCTTAACGCTTCAGCATCCCTAATCTAAAAATATAAAGTGCTCCAAGAGTGTCATGGAGGTACTCAAAAAATTTTGGAATTTGGAGCATTTCAGATTTCAGATTTTCAAAATAGGAATACTCTCTGAAATTCTAAAAAACTAGGGAAAAGGAAGTAGAATCAAAGAATTGCAGGAACAAAAGAAACCAGAAAACTTGGTAAAGCAACTTCTTTAAACCAAAAAAAGAGACTTTGCAAGAAAAGGCTTGTGTTAGAATTTTCACTCAAAAGTCTTCTATAATTCAAAATTCCAAAATATTTTATAATATGGCATTGCATTAAGATAATAACCAGTGCAATAGAGCCTGATAAGTTTATGATATTTAAGCTTGCAGGATTAAAATATATTAATCGCATTTCATTAGAAACCATTTTTAGAACTTTGATTTGAGAAATAGCTATTATAAACAAGTAGGATGTCCCAGTGGGAGTATTCTTACATGTTAAACTGGATCCTGGCAGCACTAATCCTCTTTCTATGAAACACTCAGCAAAGAGCCAATGTAAGATGATTTAGGCTTGCAATGATCTGTCCAAGCAGACACATAGAGAATCTCATACAAACATTCATACATTTGATTTGAAATTGCTACAAACTTAATAAGAATTAAATATTATTTTATGGTGGAAAAGGTACACCAAAAATGTACCATGCTGACATAAAAATACTAACTTATTTTTATGTACTAAAATGCAAAGGCAACATTTAAATCAGGTAAAAAAAAAAATCTTATAATGAGTTTTTAAATGCTGTTGGCATAGACTTCTGCTTCCAGAAAGATGAAGTAGACACTTTTCTCTATTTCTCCCAGGAAGTTCAGCTAAAAATCCTGGACATTATATAAACAAACATAAGGCCCTGAAAAGTGAATAAAACAAAGCAGACTGGCTAAGGACTTAAGGACCTAAGAAATGGCACTCAGTTCCTTGAGTTTTCTTTTTGCCTTATACATCTCAGTCTAAGTGTTGGAAATGCCAATGGACACAGATCAGAAATACCCCAAGAATGCATTCTCAAGACGAAGAGGGGGCAAAGAGCATTCTGGTTTGCTCACAATGGCCAGTCCCAAAAGTTAAGTGTTGCTCTCTCTTCCCCAAGAAAAGGGGAAAGAGATACTAAGATCTAAGAGCTGGAAGCCTCTGGAAAGACTCAGGGAGAGTTTCAGGGAATCTTGGAGAGTTCACATATATTATCTCCAAATCTTAAAGCACTTACCAATATACATACACCTTAGTAACAGAAAGCATCAAATCTGAGATTATATTCTTCCTTAAGAACTCCAGGTTTTGTTGTATTACACTTAGGTTAAGCTACAGTGCTAAAAATTACATTCTGAAGTAATAATGGATGTACTTTGGACTAATCTTACTACTGGGAAAATTAGAAAAACCAGGGTAATAATAATAAGAATAAACCACCTTTTTGAAAGCATCTAAAAGTTAAAAAAAAAAAAAAAAAAGGAAAGAATTATGGGCCAAGACTGGAATAGAAGGAAACACAGAACATTAAGCATTGCATTTGAAGCTGCTTTTCTGCTAGGACCATCTGTCTTTCCAGAAAAGGCAACTGATAGTGCTCAATCCCACTGATCATCAGGGAAATACAAATTAAAACCACAATGAAACTCTACTACACATACACCAAAATAGATTAAAAATGTAAATAGCTGATACAAATGTGGGTAAGGATGTGGAGCAATGTGAACTTTGATACACTACTGGTAGGAATGTAAACTGCTAAAACCACTTTGGAAAAACTGGTTATCATACACTGAAATTGAATGTATATATGCCCTATGACTTGGCAATTCTATTCATAGGTATATATATCCAGTAGAAATCTGTGCATATATTCACCAAAAGACATAATAAGAATGTTCATAGCAGCATTATTCACAGGAGTCAAAATCTGGAAGCAGTCTAAATGTCCACCAATAGTAGAATGGATACATTGTGTTATATTTATATAGGGAATTATATTCAGCATGAAAATGAATGAACTGCAGCTTCATGCAATATGAATGAATTCCATAAATATAAAGTTGAGTGAAAGAAGCCAGACACAAAAGACATGATTCTATTTTAGGTTCAAAAACAGGAAAAACTTCCTATAGTCCTATTCAAAATAAGTGGTGATTATGAAGATGGTAAATGGGGGTAATGATTGAGAAGGAAGACAAGGGGTTTGGAAATATTTTATTTCTTGACTTAGCTCAGGGATTGACAAATTATAGCCATGGGTCAAATCTGACTCGTTGCCTGATTCTGTTAGGTCCATAAGCTATAACTGGTCTTTAACTGTTTGGTTTGGTTTTTTTTTTTTTTTTTGAGGCAGGGTCTCACTCTGTCGCCCAGGCTGGAGTGCAGTGGTGGATCCCAGCTCACTGCAACCTCTGCCTCCCAGATTCAAGTGATTCTCCTGCCTCAGCCTCCCAAGTAGCTGGGATTACAGGCGCCTGCCACTATGGCCGGCTAACTTTGCATTTTTAGTAGAGATAGGGTTTCACCATGTTAGTTAGCCAGGCTGGTCTCGAACTCCTGACCTCAGGTGACCCACCCACCTTGGCTTCCCAAAGTGCTGGGATTACAGGCATGAGCCATGGCACAGGGCCCTCCCTGGTCTTTATATTTTTAAATAATTGGGGAAAATTTTAAAAATATTTCATGGCACGTGAAAAGTATGTGTCCAGAAATAAAGGTTTATTGAAACACAGTCACACACATTTGTTTACGTATTGTCTACGGTTACTTTTGTGCTACAACCGAAAAGTTGAGTAGCTGCCACAGAGATTATATGAACTGCAAAGCCTAACATACTTATTACCTGACTCTTTATTGAAAAAAATTGTCTACCCTCTCTTAGTTTGAGCTGCTATATTAAAGTACCATAAACTGGGTGGCTTGCAAATTAACAGAAATTCATTTCTTATCATTCTGGAGGCCGGAAATCGAAAATCAGGGTGCCAGCATGGCCAGTTCTAGTGAGAGCTGTCTTCTAGGTTGCAGACTGCCTACTTCTCATTGTATCCTCACATGGCAGAAAGACAGCTACATAACTCTCTGAGGTCTCTTTTATGAGGTCACTAATCCCGTTCATGAGGACTCCATCTCATGAATGGAGGATTCATTCCCTAATACTATCACATTGGGGATTAGGATTTCAACATATGAATATTAGGACACACAAATATTTGTTCCATACCACTGTAAGTAGTGATTATATGGGTATGTTTACTCTGTGATAATTTTGGGGGACCAGATATTTAAACTGTGATTTATACACTTACAATTCTTTGAAGTGTATATGCATACACAAAGTTTTTAAAAACTGTACCTAATACAAAGTTTTTAAAAACTTGCATTCTTAGGCCATTGATTTTAAAAACAAAAGACCTGGAGTGAAAGATATGTCTTACACAAAGTATAGAAAGGACAGAGGTCCTTACAGACATAACTCTTTGTACTTGTTCCTCCAGCCTCTTAGGTTTTTAAGTTTTGTTTTGGTGGGAGTTGAAAGAATTTTGATGGACTTGATTTCAGACACATGAGATGACTGAGGTCAGTTACATGATCACTGCTAACTGCTTTCATTATTTATAATGAAAAAGACAACATTAACTGCTTTACAAAAAACAGAAGAATCTTTTAATGGCAAAGGATTATTCATTATATAGAAATAATTGTAACTAAAATCTGCAAAGCACTGCTCCTAAAGCAGCAGTCCCCAACCTTTTTAGCACCAGGGCCCAGTTTCCACTGATCGGGGTGGGGGATGATGATTTCGGGATGAAACTGTTCCACCTCAGATCATCAGGCATTAGTTAGATTCTCATAAGGAGAATGCAACCTAGATCCCTCACATGCACAGTTCACAACAGGGTTCACATTCATATGAGAATCTAATGGTGCCGCTGATCTGACAGGAGGCAGAGCTCAGGCTGTAATGCTCTCTCGCTGGGCAGCCCTCTTCCTAGCAGGCCATGGCTGGGGACCCTTGTTCTAAAGGACATCCACCCAAACAGGGATCCTCAACCAACAGATGGGCATCAGAATCACCTGAAAGGCATTTTCAAACTCATTTTCAAGGTTATGGTGAACTACTACTATTACTGGAAATGTAAGAGGGGTTCTGGGACAGCAAAGGTGAAGAATCACTGGCTTATATTACAGAAACAGCTATGATATAGTTATGTTCACTATATGATTCTCACAACTGATAACTCTGTTAACATAGTAAGACAGGTGGAGGAAGCTTGTGGTTTCAGACATTTGAATTTAAAGTAACAATACACAGTAGAAAGCCCATACCTCTCCATTTTCAAATGTTATTTCTCGGACAAGAGGAACACATTTATCTTGAATCCAATTGTAAGTCACATCAAAATTTGTCATAGCTCCCAAGTACACCATATCCGGAGCAGAATGCTATTACAAAACAGAAAAAAAAAAAAAAATTAAATCTAAACTGTGCTGGCAAAAGTATATTCTTTTTTTTTTTTTTTTTTTTTTTAAAGCAAAGTCTCACTCTGTCACCCACGCTGGAGTACAGTGACATGATCATGGCTCACTGCAGCCTTGACCTCCTGGGCTCAAGCAATTCTCCTACCTCAGCCTCCAGAGTAGCTGGGACTACAGGTGCGTGCCACCATGCCAAGCTAATTATTTTATTTTATGCAGAGATGTGGTCTTGTTCTGTTGCCCAGGCTAAAAAGTACATTCTTAAATCCATCCATGAACCCAGAAAATCTACCGGTGTTACAAAAGAAACATAAATCATGGAACTTCCAAGAAAGAGGGCCATGGGTGGTAAAAAGCAGGTAATTCTGTGATTACCAGTGAGCTAATAATCTAACCTGTGACACCCAAGCCTATTGCTTTTTCTTGGATTTAGGTCAATTAACTCTTTTTCAGTATCCTCACCAAAGGCAGGAAGGCATTGTGAAAAGAAGAATTCTCCAAATGAATTAATTTAGCTATTCCTTAGAGCTGAAAATTTTAGAAATTACTTCTTTTAGAAGAAAATATGGATAGTGAAAAAGCCTTGAAAAATACAAGATGCTATATGGATGTAAGGCAAGACTATTTCATTTTATTATTATCTCCATATCTGTTTCCACATTAACTCAAAATCAATTATCTATGAAGTGTCTAAAATGATAAAAATAATAGCTAATATTAATCGATAAACTTACTGTGTCTAGGCATGATTGTGAACATTTTATATGTGTTGATTCATTCAATCCTCCCAACATCCCTATAAAGCAAGTACTGCTATTATCATCCCATTTTTACTAATTAAGAAACTGAAGCGTGGGGAAGCGAAGAAACTTTCCCAGAGTAACATACCTAAGAAGGTGGCACATTTGACATTCAAACCCAGTCTGATACCACCAGAGCCCATGCTCTGAACAACCACACTACCACTGGGAGATATGTACTGCATTCTGATAATCTAGGGATGATGATACTAAGTAAGCTACTCAAAGAAATGTACTTGCAAAAAACATAAGCAAACACCTATGTGAATTTAAAATAGAAACTTTCTAAGCAAGAAATTCATTTATCTGCACAAAAATTTAAAATCTCAGTGTAAAAACACTGTAAACAACATTAAAATGAAAACTACAAATTGAAAAAATATCCATAAATTTTTTTTTTTTTTTTTTTTTGGCCATTGCAATGGCAGGCCCTTGGTGAATTTGGGATAACACATGCTATGATTTTTGCCTCTTAGTTATGGCTACCATCACCTGGTAGGGCCTAAGCAGCTACTTAAAACTTCTTACCCTACAGGTTAAAAACAACCTAGCTGCTCCTTATTACCTGGCAGGTACTGAGTAAATTTATACCCCAGGAGATTTGGGAGTTTGGCTAGTACAATACTAGCCAAATACAACAGGTAGAAATGACAATCACAGGCAACTAGAGCATTTTAAAAATTTGGCTCCCACACTGAATGCCAGAGAGGTAGAAAAGGCCTGAGAGTCAGGGGATCCCTAAGGCCAGCTCTGCTACTCTAATGCCTGTGTGACCTTAGGCTTCTGTGGTCCAATCTTCGTTTTGAAGGGTTTAGATCAGCACAAGATGATGCTTCAAAGTTCCTTTCAATTCTAAAGTTCTATGATTCTATGAACATTAACACATATAAAACTACATTTTATACATGTTATTTAAATTATATCTTATCATACAACATTAAGAAATAGCAACTTACCCCTGGTGGTTTGTAGATTATGTTGTCTCCACTATATCTTTCTGGTTTTGAAACATCCCTATAGGAAGGGAGAAGCAGTAATAAACCTGAATGACAGGATTCTGCAATGTAGGAATTACAGACTTGAAATACATACTTATCCATCATAGTCCCTATTATAAGACTATGCAATACCAAGAAAAGCATACGTTTAAAGAAAACATTTAATATGAGGCAGACTTTTTAAAGGAAAATTTTAGTTGGTTGTTTTTGTGTTTTGTTTAAGTTTAGATTGGGAGTTTTAGCACTAAAAGGTTGTTTTTGACCCCAGATTGTTTTCTAGCAACTAGGGATCAATGTCATCGGTTTGGTCACAAGGACTGGAAAAAAAAAAAAACCAAAAAAAACCCCCGAAGTAACCCACATCACTAAAATATAGTTCCATAAATAAGTAATTTTTTGTTTATGTGTCCATTGTTGTTTCCTGAACCTAGTACAGTATCTGGCACATAAAAGTTGTTCAATAAAAATATGTAGAGTGAATACTACAACAAATTACTTTTGTAATCAATTATTTTTAGATTAATTGAATATTGATTTATCTCTAGTTTCTAATTACAGTAGTCCAGGAGACAGGGGCAAGGGGTGCTAACCTAGACTGATAACAGTGAGAACAGAAAAAATGTGTTCCATTAATTAATTAATTCAATAACTATTTACTATGTGCTTCCTTTATACCAGCTATGCCTTGACATTGGGTAAACAGGAGTGAACAAAACTAACAAAACTCTCTCTCTCTCATGGAGTTTACATTTTGGTGAGTAGAGATAGACTAACAAGTAGATATATTTATCTTTGGTGGTTACAAAAAAATGCTATGAAGAAAATAAGTGGAATAAGTAGATAAAGAACGACAAATTAAATGATGGTAGTGCTCCTTTATATAAAGTTATCAGGCAAAGACTTTCTGATGAGATGACATCTGGGAGGAGTACTTTCAGATACAGGCTCTGCTGCAGAAGTGTGCTTGCAGCATTTAATGAATACGGGTTGGGCACAGTGGCTCATGCCTATAATCCCAGCGCTTTTGGAGGCGGAGGCAGGAGGATCACTTGAGGCCAGGAGTTCAAGACCATCCTGGGCAACATGTGAGACCTCATCGCTTAAAAAACAAAAAACAAAAAACTAATAATGCACACAATAAAACATACAAACAAAATCTTACAAAAGCATTAAAGCAAGGACAAACAATAAAGGTCAAAAAATGAAGAGGATGTATTGTGCCAGACATCCAGGCTCCACTCAAGATAGCTACTACAGTTGAGCCTAACAGTCATGAGCCAATGAAAAGAAATAATACTGCATGGAAGTCAAAGGATGGTTGAGATAACCTCCAATGAGGAGAGAGGGTCAAGAACAGAACCACAAAAATGATTCCATCTTGAGAAAAAGAAAAAAAAAAGGAGATAAAGTCAGAGAATTCAGACAGGTAGGGGCCAAACCAGGGGGATTCAATGTAAGTGTTGACACAGCAGAAAAAGAAAAAGGTAGTTGAACATCACACCCTTCAGAGGAATTGACAAGGATTAAGATGTTTAAAAGACCACTCAATCTGGTAATTAAGAAGTCATTTTGTGAATGTGTAGAGACAAGTTTCATTAGAGCAATGGAGGTGAAAGTTAGCTTCCAAAAGGTTAAGTTTTTTACTGGTTAGAATTTGAGAAAATCAAGGTAGCCAGGCATAAACTATTCTTTGAAAAAAAAAAATAATAATAAAAAGAAAGATGGCATTATAGCTTAAGAGAAGAGGCAGGTCAGGAAAGAAAGAAGCATGTTTTCAGAAAAGGAAAGCAGTTCTTGAAAAGGGTCAGGTTGAAAACACAAGAAAGCAGGAACAACTGGTGGATCAAAGCCCCAGAGGAGTTTGAAAGGACAGTTACAAGGATACCAGAGAACAGGTTAGCCTTAGAAAGAATTGTTCCTCTGAGACAGGGAAGATATAAGAAAAGGTGGTGGAGAGATGGAGATGAATGAAGAGATAAAACTCATGCTTCTTAACAAGAAAGACAGTGTGTTGTTTCACTGTGGTAACCCCACAGATTAGCATTTTGTCTAACATAGGATAAGAATTAGTAAATGAGTTCAATAAAAGCAAGAATGAGTTAATTGTTAACTTGTCCATTTTTTCCTGCTTGCCCACATTCTGAAACAGATAATACTATAGAAAGAAAAACAGAGTTTTAAAACCTTAAAAAGAATTCAGAGATAGGCATAAAGACTGTTTGGTGATTTTAAAAGGACTGAGATCATTTTTGGAGAGATCACCTTCAGAAACTGACCAAATACAACAGGAATTTAACATGGCAGCCAAACCAACCCACTAACACACTTTTAAATAAGATACTTACCCAAATGCAGAAAGAAAGGCACAGTCATCATGCAAAATATTCGCTACTCGTTCAAAAACTCTATAGTTGTCCGAGTCCTTTTGCTCAAAATATCCAATGATATTTCTTTTGCTGCGCTGTAAAATAAAGTATGTAATTATTTTGCAAACAAACATAGTTTTATAAACATGTTATTTCATTTACCCCTTATCTTTGTCTAGTTATTGTTCAAATGAAGTATGACTATAAATGCATATTTAGTTTTTAACACCTAGTCCAAAACTATTAAAGATTACATTGGGTTGAAAACAATCTTAACTATAATAAATATAATCATAAACATTTCCTTCTAGCATTTAAAATTTTTAAGAAATAGATAACTATTTGATCAGTGACAATCTTTTCCTAAGTAAGGGGACTAATACTAAAATGTGCTAAAACAATGTATCAGTCATAACTTGTGACAGCTGGAGAGACTCCTCCATGGCTCTCTCACACTCCTACCCATCTTACTGGGTCTACCAAAAAATGCAAGACTCTGACTACTCTTTATCCAGGCCATTTCTCAGAGTTGTGCTTGCAGCGAGCAACACTGATACGAGGGAATGCCTCCAGCCAGGACAAATGCAGGGTTACTGCTTGCTCTGAAATAGTGAGTTCCCCAAGCCCAGTGTCCCTCTCCTGTGACATAACCCACTGCATGTACAAGTATCCATCTGGGGAGTCCTCTGTATTGCCTCCATAGGATTTGGAGGGCAAGGAAACAAATGCAAACATGCTCACACTACTTGCTGTGATGTGAGCAATAAAGTCCTTTGTCTCTGACCCAGCAGTCTTGTGTCTTCTAACAGAATCCATGAAATGGTAATTGGTTAGCTTAGCTTGCAAGTAGGATAAAATCAAATCTCAAACCTGACAGTGATGATTGGTGATTGTGATAGAGCCCAAACTCAATTGTTTTTGCTTTTGTTGTTGTTGTCTTTAAAACACTACCCAGTGTACAAAGAAAGGGGTGTGCTAAACTTATTGTTAAGCAGAGGCTATTTTAGAGGACATTAAAACTCATAAAAAGAGCTCACACAAGGGCGATTAGAGCAGACACCCTGAAGGTCTCCACAAGAAAAATACAGAAGCTCTGGTTGTATATACTTGACTTTAACTTCCATTTCTTTATAATTGAGGCTTTCATATGTGCTCAATTCACATTAGTACAGCTTTACTGTATGCTATATCTTTCATCCAGAAGTTCAGTATAACATATTTTCCTTGAGATTAATTCAAAAAAATTCAACTCATTAAGTATATGTATGTCAAATCCACTGCAATAAACTATAGGAGAATGTCCAGATTTTTTGTTTGCATTAGAATTTGTTTACGTTAATCAGGGAATGTTCATTTAATCTAGCAAAAGTTACAACTTACATCAAGAGTGGTGATTTCTGTTAAGTCCCGAATTTCTTGAATGGGGTTACTTTTTTGTTGCCTGATGTAATCTGCCAGTGCTTTCACTGATCGCTGACCCCTGTATTCTCTCTTCATCATCATCCCATTACGAAACAATTTGAGGGTTGGGTATTTGCTTATCCTGTATCTCTGGGCTATGTCAGCTAAAAGAATGAAAAAAAATTATTTACCCTCATATGTAGTCAGGGTGAGCCCATTAGCCTAATGGTCAAAAATCTTACAATTGCTTAGTGAGAACTTTTTGATTCAAGACATTATTTTTCAGTGAGAGAGAAAAAAATAGTAATAATCAGGACTTGAGTTTACACTAGTTAAGAGACCAGGTTCTGGACTGGGTTTAAATCCTAATTTGCGACTTACTGGTCATGTGAACTTGTAAAATGCATAAACTCTCCATGCCTTAGTTCTCATCTATTATATAAGGATAATCATTTCTGCCACGTAAGATTGTCTTAAGCATCAAATTAAATAATACAACAGATGCCACAGTAAGCATGGCACATGAATAATGACTATAAAAATAGCAATAATAATAATGCCTTATGGGGTTCGACAGACGTTAAAATACCTGACAGCAGCATATAAGCTGGGGAGGGAGGGTAAGCAGGAGGAAAATTACGCTAAATATTCTAAAGTCTTTGCATGGTCCAGGAAGAGGCAAAAGTACTTATAATATTTTGTTTAGTCGAGGTTGTACTTTATTCTCTCTACTACAGACAATCAAAAATACTAAAAGTATATTAGAGGTTAAAATGGAATATGAGCTCTCAGAAGGGGGGCTGGAGAAAAGATATAACACTTTGGCAAACTAAGTAACTAAGATTATATAATACTTTGGCAAACTCCACGTGGATTTATGAAGTAGAAATCATGATTGATTACTAAAATTCTTTAAACAGAAGACACATATGAATAAACAACGGGAACAACTGGTCATACTGAGATTGAAAAGAATGCTTTATTCATCAAATCACAGAAATCTGAAGTAAGACATTTTAATTTATACATAATTAACATAGACAATAATCTGTCTGCTTTAGGAGTTGGTACTTCCTTGAAGCAGATGAGTAATAGATACATATCAACTACATGCCCCTTTTCAACCTGATAAACTACAAGGAGAGACTATGTCTTTGGGGTGTTATAAAGATGATGGGTCCTATTACCTGAGCAAGGACTTAATGAGATTAAATTGGTACTACAAATTGAGAAATGAGAGAGCGGTACCATAAACAAGTAGAAGTCTTTTAAATAAAATAAAGACAACTGTAATAAAGTAAAAGCCACAAAGACTTGAGCTTATCCTACTTACAATGATAAATAACCTGAGAAATCATAAAAATAAAAAAAAAAGAAACTTGGATTTTTTTTTTCTTTTTGAAGACAGGGTCTTGCTCCGTCACCCAGGCTGGAGTGCAGTGGCACGATCTCAGCTCACTGCGACCTTAACTTCCTGGACTTAAGCAATCATCCCACTTCAGCCTCCAGAGTAGCTGGGACAACAGGTGTGTGCCACCATGCCTGGCAAATCTTCTTAAATTTTTTTAATTTTTAAATTTTTTTTTTAGAGATGAGGTCTCACTATGTTGCCCAGGTCAGTCTTGAACTCCTGAACTGAAGCAATCCTCCCGCCTCAGCCTCCCAAAGCTGGGATTACAGTTGAGAGCCACTGTGCCTGGCTATAAAATGAATTTTTGCGTGATGTATAAACAAAAAGTGTTTTAAAAATTAGATCAAATAGTTCTAATGGCCAACACTACAGTGTTGTAGTCTTGAGAATGGAAAATGCCTTTTTAAAAGTTAGTATTTTGGCCAGGCCCAGGGGCTCATGCCTGTAATCCCAGAACTTTGGGAGGCTGAGGTAGGTGGATCACTTGAGGTCAAGATTTTGAGACCAGCCTGGCCAACATGGCAAGACCCTGTCTCTACTAAAAATACAAAAATTAACCAGGCCTGTTGGCGCACGCCTGTAATCCCAGCTACCCGGTGGCCGAGGCACAAGAATCTCTTGAAACTGGGAGGTGGAGGTTGCAGTGAACCAAGTTCGTGCCAGTGCACTTCAGACTGGGCGACAGAGTGAAACCTGTCTCAACAACAACAACAACAAAAAGTTACTATTTCTCCAAATGCTTATCAATAGGAGACTGGCTGAATAAAGTATGGTACCCATATAATGAAGTACTAGGCTGTAATATAAAGAAATAAAAAAGATCTCTGTTTGCTGCTAAGGAGCAATCTTCAAGATAAGTTTAAAAAAAAAAAAAAAAAAAAAAAAAAAAAGGCCAGATGCAGAAGAGCATGTACAGGTCAAATATTTTGTATAAGAAATAGGGAGAAGAAACTTGGGGAAGAAATATAAATACATATGTATATACATGCACACATATTTACATGTCTATATATGCTTGCTTATATAGTTGTCTTTCCTCTACCCACAAAAAAAACACCAGTGGGAGAAAATGGATGGAGAGGTCTAGGATAAATTCCCTGACTATACTTTGGTTTTACAGTTTTGACTTTGGAACCATGGAAATGTTTAACATTAAAACAAAATAAAATTTTTAAAAAATTTAGTACTGGCATTGTTATTTTGAAATTAAATACATACACATATATTACCGATAAAGCACATGAGTAATCATGTTAATGCCATTAAGAATCAAGATTTTCAACATAAGGAAAAAATATATAAAACTGAGTAATTAAGTAAAAACCCTATAATAATTTGAATTGGAAGTACTGGTATGACCTCATGTTTTTCTCTTTCAAAAAAAATACTTCTAAGATCCTTCCACTGATAGCTATTATCAGTAAGTTAATTCCAATAAGTTTGATGATTCAAATAACTCCCATGAAAATATAACTTATTGAAACTGACACTAGAAGAAACAGAAGATATAAATTATCCTAAAATTATTGCCAGGTATAGTGACACATGCCCACAGCCCCAAGACAGGAGGTTTGCTTGAGCCCAGGAGTTCAAGACTAGACTGGGCAACACAGCAAGACCCCATCTCAAAAAAGAATCCTACAATTATTAAAGAACCCAAATCTAATTCAAAGCCTTTCCACAAATGAAACTCCATTCCCAGCCATCTTCACCAGTAAATTCTGCCAAACATTTAAGGAGCCAATAATGGCAAGTTTACACAAACTATTCCAGAGAATACAAAAACAGGGAACACTTCCCAACTAGTTTTCGAGGTCAACGTAATCTTTATGGGAATCCTGATAAGAAAATTATGAGGAAAAAAAAGTATTTGTTAATCTTAAGAACACAGATGCAAAACTTGAATAGAAATATTAAAGGCCGGGTGCGGTGGCTCAAGCCTGTAATCCCAGCACTTTGGGAGGCCGAGACGGGCGGATCACGAGGTCAGGAGATCGAGACCATCCTGGCTAACACGGTGAAACCCCGTCTCTACTAAAAAGAATACAAAAAACTAGCCGGGTGAGGTGGCGGGCGCCTGTAGTCGCAGCTACTCGGGAGGCTGAGGCAGGAGAACAGTGGGAACCCGGGAGACAGAGCTTGCAGTGAGCCCAGATCACGCCACTGCACTCCAGCCTGGGCGACAGAGCGAGACTCCGTCTCAAAAAAAAAAAGAAATATTAAGAAACTAAGCACTACATACAAAGGATAATACATCACAAGAAAGCTAGATTTAGTTTAGCACTTCAGTTTAGATAAATATTTGAAAACCAATTAATGTACAGCACACTGACAGAATAAAAGAGAAAAATTTTGTTATCTCTCAAAAGCAGAAAAGCATTTGATAAAAATCTATATCCATTCATGCTTAAACACTTTCAGTAAACTAGGAAGAGAACTTCCTTAACTGAAAAAAGGATAAATAAACAAGTAACAAACAACTGAATGGTGATATACTAAAAGCTTTCAAGTTGAGATCAAAAAAGAAAAAAGATGCCTGCTATCACTTCTATGAAACACTGATTTGGAGTTCTTGATCAAAATAATAATAATTAAAAAAAGACTGGAAAGGAAGAGATGTCATTATTTGCAGATGTTTTTATTGAGTTCACAGAAAATCCAAAAGGGAATCTACAAATGGATTTCCACTTGCAAGCAGGGTGTAGTGGGTAGCAGAAATGTATTGGTCCTACTGCAACAACTAGAAAAAACTTTGTATCATATTTTTAAGATATCAGAAATCATGAAAGCAATGAAGACTAAAGGAACTGACATTCCAGGAAGGGAAGAACCATTCCTAGGGTAAGCAAAGATCACTAGCCATTTTCTTTCCTATAGGTTTCCTGTGTAATTCGTTTTGGAAATTAAGTCTGCAGTTGCAGATTTAGGGCTGAGAATTATACCTGCATAGGCAAAAGAAATGTCTCCAGAGGACATCTGCTAAGTGCTGGGGTGATACAGGAACCTGCGGAGTTGGGTCACAAATATGAAAAATCTCCAACGGCCTCCTGGTACTTAGGAGACAGCATCTACTTTGAAAAGGACCTGCAACCCTGTATCAAGACCACATGCAGCCAAGACAATTGCCAGATTTTGAAGCCAACAAGGCCAGGAAGCATCTAGACATTTTTAAAAAACCATGAATTTTCAAGACAGACAGGAAGAAAGGTACTTGTGACATGTACTAGAGACAACTGATTAGTATTCAGAATATAAAAAGAATGAACTAAAAAAAGATTACCAAAAAGATAAGTGAGCTAAAGCTATCAGTGTATGAAAGAAATACAGATTGCCAATAAACATATTACATATATTCAGTTGTAATCAGAAAGTTACAAATTAAAACTCCCATATAACATTTTGTCTTTCATACTGGCAAAAAATCAATAATAATAAAAATTTTTAAGACTAAAATTCAATAATATGAAACCCTATGAAAGTAAAATATTCCTAGTAGGTTTCATTTAGGTTCAATATTCAATGTTAATAAAGGTAAACTAGCCTAGCTGGTGCCTACTTTGTCAACAAGAAGTCAAGGAATCTTTTTTAATACCCAAAGACTTTTTAATATCCAAAGGATCTGGCAGAGAGGATATGAGATGGACTCAGAAGCAAAGAAACTAGTCTAATAGAAAACATCTATTTTCCATCTGTGTCCTAAGTATCAGTATGAAAATGGACAGCAAGATGCACTATAGGAGACAATATAATGCT